CGCCACGCAGCGCCGCACCTGGCCCCGCAGCGAACTCGAATTAAAGGGGCCGGCGGGGGCCAGAGCCCGCGAGCTGTGCCGCTCGCCGCCGCCGCCGAGCTGGCCACCGGGTTAGATAGACTCCCGTGTCCCCGACCCTCACCACAAAGAAAACACCCCATTCTTGGGCAGAACGTAGGTTACCCACCAGAACTCGGTGCAGAGCTCAGCTGGCTGCTGCCTGGGCCGGGAGAAGTGGAGAGGGCAGAGAAGTTGAGGAGCTCCTGAGAGGTTCTTGCCAACATAATGAAGTAGGCAAGATGAACCGATCAATACGAACTATCCCAGGCCCGAGGCGGGATCCAGCCCCTCGGGAGATGTGTTGCTATTATTAAGATGCTGCCAGACAGGATCTGCAGACCCCAGGCCCCTCTCTGGCCTTCTCCTGCGTCCTCTCCTGTAGCCCTGAGCCCCACCTTGATCTTACCCAGCACAGCGTTGGCTTCTCAGGGCAATGCAGCAGGTGCGGGCCTGGCTGCAGCGTGGCAGAAACTCAGAGCTGTCTTTGCCCCCCACCGGGTGGGGGTTGGGAGAACCGCAGGAACAACCGAACTGAGGGCCGGCCACTTGCCTTTCTGACTTCCTTTCCCTAGGGCTCTGGACAGAGAAGGCTAGGGGACACACAGCTGCCCTTGGGAACAGCCGGCTCCTCACAGATGCCCTCTCATAGATCTGACAACACTAGCTGGTCCACGTTGTGATCTGAATTTGGGGGTGTAGCCCTCGTACCCTGGGGTGGATAGAATAGGATACCCTCTGTCTCCGAAGAATTTGTGTAGGAAGTCCTTGGTTTAGTTGGGAATGGGAGTGCTTTAGGGGTCCAGGTAGGCTTGAAAGCCCTGCAAAAGCTCCAAGCCTTCACTGGTTGAGTTCTGCAGACCCCTGTCGGAACTACCTGCCTAGACGACCCACAGAGGGACACACTGAGATGGGTCACAGAGCTCTGGTGTTCAGAGGGCTCTAGTGTGGGAAAGACTCTTCCTGGGCTCTCTCTGCTAAGACAGCCCTCTCTAGGAGAGTGTCTGAAGCCTGCTTCCCTGCAAGGGAAGGTTCTGAGGGATGCAGCCATACCCCAGTGGGTAGTCTGTAGAGTGGGGTTAAAGATTGCAACCCTACCTAGAGCTGCAGGGAGTGCCCTGAGAAGGCTGAGGGAAACTGATGACTGCTAGACTGTACCAGTTTAGCTTCTGATTCCTGGAAGGTGGGCCGTGAAGATGGGCTGTCAATGAAGGATCCAGAGTCTGGCCTGGGTGTTTTGCCTGCCAAACTCAAACTGTAATCTCGGCCAGTTATTGGATAAGTAAATTTACTACAGAAGTGGCAGCCTGTTAGTGTTAAATTGCATACGAAGAGTTTAGCATCCAACAATCACTTAATAAACAATGATTTGTAATGTTCTGCCCACTCTCCTCCCAGCTTTGTGTTTCTCTTTGTGCAAACCACTGGTCTGTGTTTCCTGTTCTTCCTGCTTCCCACGGTCTCAGCTTTTCAGCAAAAACATCCTCCAATGCCCTGCTATGTACTCCTTCTGGATGATTCCCCGAGGGTCTCTGTTCTCCTATTTGTCATGCTTATGACCACTGGAGAGTGTGTATACATCTTCATGGCCTTCCTTGTAGAACAAAAGGTGTAGATAGCAAAACACCCTTGTGGGAGAATTAATAATAATCTTAGCTGGTGGCTTGTGCTCACCGTGTTCAGGGGCTATGCTAAGCACCCGTGACCCGGCACATCACTCAGTCCTCATAGTCTTCTGACTTGTCTGTCTGTCTGCACCATTCATTGGAAAGGCAATAGAGGCTGAGAGAGGGGGAAGTGACCTTCATGATGCCAAGAAGTGGTGGCTCTAGGTCTTGAATCAGATCTTTGTGACTCCAGGGGTCTTAGGATCCTGATTCCCCAGTGTGTGTGTGTGTGTGTGTGTGTGTGTGTGTGTGTGTGTGTGTGTGACAAGGATGTTTGAATTTCATTTCCCTTTGGGAAGTTCCTCTGGCCCCTGCTGTTGTCTCCTCACATGGCATGTCACTTTCTCCCTTCCCTTTAAAGTCTGACCTAAGTGTGAATGGCAATGGAAAAAATCAACTAATGAAGGAAAAGACAAGAAAAGGCTACACCAAGAGCCCTCGCCCTGAAAGCCATTTCTCTGGGTACATTTGACGGTATCAGGGCTGGGGATGAAATGGCAGGAAAGAGCATGGGTCTGCTTCTCCATGTAGGCACTTGTTAGCCGTAAGAACCTGAGCAATTATCAAAAACTCTTTGCACTTCAGACTCCTAATCTGTCCAACAGGAGCAAAGCCCCTTTGCAGTGTGGTCAGGACTAAACTGGATGGGAGGAGAGGACAGCTAACCAGTTTCACTGGTAAATTAAGGCCAGATCTCTAGTTCTTAGTTCCGGTTCCAAAGGAACAACCAGTGAGTCCCTTGTTCCTTTTCCTTGGTGAGACACTGACATTCCCCCTCCGTGTCCCCAGTGACTTCTCCTTTCCCTTTTTGTTTAGTATCCTGCTTGGGAGCCAGGCCCTGCCTTTAGGGAAAGGCTGTGGTGACCACTGCAGGGAGAGGCCAGTAACTATAGTTATTAAAAGAAGGGGTCGTGTAGATAAATACTGAATAATCACACTAAGTGTCAGAATCATTGTGCAGCTCCTCCATTTTATATAGCATTCTAGAAGATACAAACACTGTGGTCTGCAAAGAGAGGAAACAGGTCAGTAGCTGCATGGACAGAAGTGCGGGGACAGGAGTGGGAGATGGACTGCCAAGGGATTTCTTTGGGGGGTGATGGTTATGCTTATTATCTTGAGTGTGTTGACAGTTTTGCAGGTATATGCCTACATCAAAGCATCTCAAATTTGACATTTTAAGCAATGCAATTTATTGTACATGAAGCATCCAACAATTAAGTACTGAAACTGAAAAACAGAAAAGAAGGGCTCCTAACGCTCCGTGCACCTATTCTCAGTCCCTCCCACCACCATTTGGGGGCCCAGAAAGACTCCATGATTCTTTCTCTTGGTGCCACCTTCTTGGTATGGCCAGCACCTCTTCTTGGTGCTCCCGTACTGATTGTGTGCTGGCACAGCCCTTCCAGCCCATGGGCAAGCAGGGCAGGGATGCATTGTGGGTATTTGTTTGAATGCCTATAACCAGGCTTAGGGAAAGATGTGATTGACTATTTTACAGAGAAAGACACTGGAGCTCAGAGAGGACCAGACACTGGTCAGCGTAAGTTAGCTGGTAAGCGATACGGTTAGGACCAAACTCAAGATGGTGTGAGTCCACAGGTTGCCATGTCATCCTGTCCGCTGGGTATCAGGTTTCTCCATCTAGGATGTGGATTCAGACCATCAGAACTCAAAAACCCTGCAGGCACATTCTCTTATCCCGAGGAGAGGACAGGAAGAAGACTGCTTTAGAAAGGGATTGATGTCAACGGTTAACTGGCCACATGTAAACTCGGGGGCTGGAAATGGTGGTATGGGCTCCCAGACTCCAATCCTCTTTTGTCTGTTCCAGTGAATGCTCGGTGAATGCTTCTCATAATTTGCACAGCCTTGGAGCACTGCTCACCCTGGTGAAAGGAGTGAACCAGGCAACATCTGGTTTTGGTCTTGGTGTGCAGAGCCTTGTGGTTCATGGGATATTCACTTGACCTATCTTTTCAGGAGTTCATTTGTGAAATAAATACCACATTCTCTCAAGCCCCACCTCCTTTTTCACGAGGGGGGGGGAGGAGGGAAGGGAAGAGGAGAGGGCAGAAAGACTGAAACTAACATTCACAGTCAGTGCATATTAAAATCTCAAATGATCAAGGAGCTTACGGAGCTTACGAATGGACTTGGTGAAGTCCATTGGTGAATGGACTCACTCAGTGGATGAGGCTACTGTGAACATCACTGCTGTTGCGCTGCTGTGGCGGGGCCCTGCAGGTGTGTATCGATGGACATTGGAGAACATCCTTGAAAGCAGAGTCCTGCCCCTACGGGCTTCAGAAGTCTGCTACTTAACTCAGAAA